ACACACACACACACACACACACACACACACACACACACACAAGCACGCACGCACGAGGAAGGAGATGAGGGTAGAGAGAAAAAAGCAGCCGAGCATTGTTGTCGACATACCTGGACTCCGCGATCCCTCGCGCTGTTGCGCCGCCGCCGCAGCCGCCGCCGCAGAGAAATGCTCGAAGGACTTCGGTTGCGGCAGGCCGCCCTGCAGCGCCATCAAGCCCTCGCTGGTGCTATAGAGGAAGCCCAGCTCTCGCGCCTCATTCTCCTCCTGAGCCTGCTGTCTCCGCAGTGCCACCTGCGCGGCCATCACCCGCTGGCGCTCGGCGATCAGCGTGCACTTGGCGCACACACAGTCCTTCCAGCGGCAGTAGCGTTTGTGGCCCTTTAGCGCCGACACGACGCCGTGGTTGCGACAGCGCGCGCACTTCGGCGTGCGAGGATAGCGCTCGGCGGCGCGTAGAAAGATCGGTCCGTGGTGCGACATGGGCGCCGTCGATGACGGCACGCCCGACATGCTGATCGGTAGACTCATCGTTCTGCTCTCGACGAGCCGTCACTACGGCAGCGGTCGCCGGGTACGTACGCGTCTGTTTCCCCCGCAAAAATACGCTCGCGCGTGTTAATGTTCGGCTCGGCGAAATAGCGATTCCGCTCGCTGAAGTGGAGACTGAAGACTGTAACTGCGGCGGAGATGTCGCCGCGTGCGTATATGCTCAGAGTGACAATGCGGACGCCCCGCCTCCTATCGCTGCTGCCTTTGCCAGTGTTAATAGTGATCGCTGCGGCGCCGCGAACAAATATGTTTCAATGTGGTGCATATGCACGCAGAGCGCCGGTGCTGCCTCGCGCCTTAACGGCATCGGCTGCCACTGACTCCCTATACTAACGTGTCGACCAATAGCCGACGAGCGCGCGCGTAAGTGTGATCCGACCTGAAGTGAGGCATCGCAAGTGTACACCCGGCCGACGAGCGACGCTAAATCCGCCACCTATGCCGGCGTGCCAATTTAACCGCAATTTACGCGACCGGCCAAGCAGAAATCGACGTGTCTTTGACGCCGACTTCATTCAACATAATTTCGTTTCTGCAGACGAACGCGTGTTTACGCAACGTCCGCTGTTCATTACTTAGTCTGCGTCTAACGGTTTGCATTAACCCGGGGGTGGGCGAGCACATGTAAGAGGTTTCCTCATCGGTAGCTCATCTCCTCACCTTACCTTCACATTTATATGCGCACATACACACGCGTGCGCGCGCACACACACACACACACACACACACACACACACACACACAACGTAACCTGCACGGGAAATTAGCGTGAGGGGCGCGAAACTTATTAGCGAAATTAATTTAAAGCGTCTTCTTGTTGACGCGAATACTAGTAAGTTGCGTATAGAATTCATAGTGCAAGCCGGGTCGAATATCACTTTCATGTATAATCGATATTCATATATATATGAATAAACCTACAATATTTACTTACAATATTAGATTAAAATTTAATTAAAAATTTGGATTACATATAAAAATGTGATTTCATAAACCTAGCAAAATGTACAGACAAAGTGTTTTGAGGGCCGTAATGTACGCACGTTTTCAGCGAATTCTTCACCGTATCATTATTAGCCGTGTCATTTATCATCCATCAAACAACGAACACCTCTCTACGTGACAGCGATGAGCGGGTTAGCTACCCACACACGTGTACATGCATCATTGGTGCTGCCTACGGTTCCATCTGCATATAGCCAATATTATGCTGCTCACGTTGCTATCAGCGAATAGTCACCAATAGGCTACCGACGATGCTATCAGCGTATAGCCACCATCATGCTGACCACAGGGCTATTAGTATATAGCCATCAATAAGCTACCCACGACGTTAGAAGTGTATAGCTATGATTAGGCTACCCACCATATCATCATAGCCATCATCGGGCTATGCCCAATATCCCGGCTATATAGTCGTCGTTAGGCTGCCCCAATGCTATCAGTGTATAACTATCATTAGGCTACCCACGATTCTACTAGTGTATAACCATCACTGAGCTACACATAATTCTCTGCGTGCATAGTCAATATCAGGCTATGCATAATTCCCCGTTAGGCTGTAGCCCGGTAGTCATCGCTAGGCTGACCACAGTGTTCAGTTATCAGTGTATAACTATCATTAGACAACCTACAATTCCCGATATCAATTAGGCTATCTACAATATTCGAATCATAACAGCAACATGTCATACAGCTTTAAAATGGTTTCGTATATATATATGGACCATAGCAAATAAAAAGCCTCGCGTGAATTTAATCAAAGCCAACTTAATATTACATTACGGAAAAGTGCATTGATGCTGTCACGATGTTTCCGTCAATCAATTAAGGATCCTGTTCATTTAATGAAAACTACTTAATTGTTCAGTTGTCTGCTAAATCTGAAAGGTAATTACTCCTGACGAGGCAGCAAAATACTAGGTCGTTATAATATAAGTATACATATAAGTATATATATACATATATAGAAGAACACATATAAGTATATATAGAAACTAGCAGTACGTATGTAAATATCGCATATGTGCGCATTATGTTATTAAACGTAATTTAGTGAATCTAAACGTAATTAATAGAAAATTACACTTACCTTATGCATTTAATATTATTTTATTTTATATCACTTTTTTATCAAACACATGTAAAACGTTTTTAAATAGGGTTCAAATAGTAAAATTTCTAATTTTAAACATTTAACAGCTAAGATGGGTTCCCACAAACGTGACAATGCGTAAGCTTGTTTTCTCGTATGTCGCTTTCAATTGCTTCACACTTTGTGGGCGCATGTTTGCTGCCAAATACCGCAAACCGCTGCAGGTTATAATCTGAGACGCGAGGCAGCCTGTGGGCTTGTGTGTGTGTATATATATATATGTGTTTATGTGTGCCTCCGTGTGTGCGTATAGGTGTGTGCGTTTGAACACTTAGCTGTAATTAAAAACGTGCGTGAGTGACTGCGTGCGCGCGCTTGTGTGTATGTGTGCGCGCGAGTCTGTTGCGTGTATGTGTGCATGTGTTGTAAGTATGTGTGTGTGTTCGTGTACGTCTTATTTTTATTAATTGTGTTACCTAACTATGCCAATATAGGTAGTATAGTCCACGTCACTATAACCATGTTTTAAATGGTATTGGAAAATGGATTATCATTATATTCAAATACATAATATGTTGTTATTTAATCCCATGTTCAGTCTTTACTTAGTAGGGCCTACTAATGCATTTCGAATACACGAAGGTATATACGATATTTAATTTACCCAATGCTACAATACGCATATAGACTGTGCTAAAAACACCGCTCTGTCATAGACAGGAAAGATGGGGCACACGTCTCCAAACATCCCAAAATTGTCTGTATGCGTACTCCATTTAACCGACTTTAACACCTTTATTAAGAAATGACAAACTTTCCTATATGAAATGCGGGTTTCTTCTGGCGCTCTAGTTATTAAAGGAACAGTAGCCTCTAGGTTCTAGGGTTATTTTTAGCTAATTTAGGTTATAATTGCGCTACATAAAAAGTTTCATGGTTCAATCACCATTAGAAATATTTTTTTTTTATGTTTTAAAACTAACGACTACAGTTTGATTACAACGACGGTGGCGCCACTCAAAGCGCACGATCTGAGAAGTTGCGCAAAACCACTTTCCAGCCAAGGGCTACAGACCGAGGGTATTTCTTATTTATTCATTTAAAAGCAAAAGGATTGTAATCTCTTATAAACGACATATAGTTTCAGTTATAATATGGATAAATTTGCCCTAAAATGAATATCGTTCGGTTAAATAGCATTTAGGTATAAATATAATTGCACTTTTATGATTAGCCCTCGGTCATTTACCTGCAAAATAAAAATGCAAATACGCAACTTTTTCAGGGTGGCAGCACGGTCGCGGGTGTCATGGCGCTGTTCAAATTTCGTAGCGTTGATGTGTAAATAATTAATTAAGTATCTGGTGACAAATACATGTGGGTATAGACGATTTGTTATACAGTAAGTACAGTTGTATGCAGTAAAATCCTAGAGGCTACTGTCCCTTTAACACATATCGAATCGATGGTGCCTGGTGGGTTTTTCTTCGTTTGCGGTTATCTGTGAAGACAGTCGTATGACAATACGGCGGCACGGCTGAGTCTCGCTAACACCGTGCCAACATTCGCCGATAACTCGAAATAATTAAATTCTCAGCGATTATTGCCCGCCTTTCCGCCGCAAGGATGAAGAGAGCGCTGTAGCACCAAGCGCGGCCAGCAAGCCTTATTGCATTCCGCGCATAGCTGTGGCCATTCGCAAAAGCAGTAGCGCGCTTCATTAAAATAGCGCGACTTTTGTCGGGTTCGCAGTAGCATATTGTGGCATTTATTTATTGCATCTTCAGTACATTATCACTACGTTTCTCGTAACGGCAATAGTAAATTAACTTCTGCGTGTAATCTAGTGGCGCGAGGTCACGACGATATCATATGCTGCGGTGGTAACAATATTAGGTGAATGTTTAATCTCATCATCGCAATGAAATGCCGACGAAAAACGCTTGCTTCCCTCGTCACCTAATCAAAATAGCTCGTACCTGGGATTCTATAATTGAAAAAGAGTCTTGCATACAAAGCAAATGCGCTGTAACTGCTTCCGTACCGACGCGCGCCGTGCCGGCTTCCGGCACACGACTTTGTAGTGTGACTGCTTCCGGTACACGACCTTGTATCGTGACGGCTTCCGGTACACGATTCCGTGCCGTGACAGCTTCCGGTACACGATCCCGTGCAGTGCCAGCTTCCGGTGCACGATCCCGTGACGTGCCAGCTTCCGGTACACGATCCCGTCATGTGCCAGCTTCCGGTACACATCCTTGTGGCGTGCCGGCTTAGTTCTCGCTTAAGATAGATTAGAAATTTGTCGTGGCGTGGCGTAAGGTCGCCCGTATAGTTTGAAACAATGTAGAAGATTGTTCTTCATTTATAATCGTACTCAGCTTCAGATATTACAAGCTGCACGTACAGGGCCCTGGCTAGCGGGAGGGAAGGGGGAGCAAATGTAGGGCAGATGCCCCCCAGAGAAATATAGATACATTACATGGTCAACGGCGGTCATCTTCCCATAACATACTACGCACGTGACTCTGCCTCCCCCCCCCCGGAGGGGGGGCGAAGTAGGTGAGCTACGCTCCTGACGTGGTCTCAATAATTACATGTGCATTAGCGATGTCTTCCTGCGATTGAACACGACTGTGACACAGTGCGTTGAGACGCGCGCAATCGTGGAACGGCAAAGCTTTTTCGAAAAAGCAGGAAATGACGTGACACTAGCATAGTGGACCAATTACGGTGGCTTCCCGTGAGATTTCTTGCTCGAATGCGGGGGTCGGCCGCATGTGCCTCGCGCTGGTCCACGCTTTGATCGTGTTTCCGACCCTACGTGTAATCATCTTACACCTGTGATCGCGCGTTCCGCGGCGGTAAATTAGTTTAAAAGTCGTTCGTCGGAGCGTAAAGCCCGCAGCTCCTTATACACGGACCGCGGTCGCACGGACCCCCGTTTCGCCTACACGTATACGTTTAT